GTGCCGGCAGTTCGGGGCTTGTTCAGAGCCTTCCGACATTGACAGGACACCGATCAGCTGATTGCGCCAGAGGTGGAGAGGCCCTGGGCAGCTCGTACACGCTGACTAGCTTGTTCCTGCTTGTTGGTGCAGGATGTTTGCCGCTTCTCGTCGCGAGATCCACTCGCACTACCCATGGCCGATGCTGCCAGTCCACTGGATGCTTGCCAGCATCCAGCAACAGAAACACTGCACCGCCGGTGTGCTGGCATGACAGCCAAGGATGTCGAGAGATGTCCCGTCGCCACGCTTGTTCCGGGTTTTGTGCAATCTGGTCAAAGAAGTTGTGCTGACTGAGCCTGTGTGTGGTTTGGACGGGTTTTGCACTGTCTGGCAGTGTTGCATGCTAGGCCAAGAAAGGAGAGCTTTACTCCGTGGGCATCTCACTGTCTGTATCTGTATGTGTACACGCCGCATTGAAAGTAGAGCAGTCGACAAAATATTATTCAGGATATGAACTTCGAAGGGTGGGCTGGCCAAAGGACTATGAGGTCAGGAGTGTTATCCACTGGACGTTTGCCGGCCCTTCTTCCGGCAGGTGGGGTCATGCTCACCCGCTCCGCCCTCGATGCTGCTATGTGCGGTGTGCATATTGCAAAGTTGCAGTCTGGCCCAGGACATGGACATACTGGGCCTTACCCTTTCTTGCTGATCTCCTCCACGAGAGGCGTCAAGCGTGTCCGTTTTCGCAGATCGTTCTGTTTGCGTAGGAAATGTATTGCTGGCGGTATTTGGTATTTGGCAAAAAGCTTGCAACCATGATCTGCGAGCATTGAGGTGCATCACCGGCTCAGCCATGCCGGCACGAAACCTCTTTTCTCGGGCGAACTTGCTGTTCTCTCTTGAGCCATGCTTCGAGACAACCTGCCGAACCAGTTCGACCCTCGTGATTAGTTTGACAGTCGCCATGTGCAAATGCACCGGGCAATGGAGATCGGGGTCCCTTGCAATGGGTTGCATCGCGTCCGAGACGGTGCAGTGGCAGATCGCCCTGAGCCGCAAGGCCCCTCTTCTGTTCATCACCCTATCAAAGGAGGACTTGCGCGACACCGACAAGTAGGAGGGACTAGAGCAGAACGCCTGTTTTTACGTCGCTGCCTGCCCACGATACCTGGGCTGCAAGCAACATCGAGTTCGGAAAGAAGGATCCTCCCGACTGCGACAAGGATGTTGCCGGACCGTGCCTTCATGTCATCCGGTGGATGCCATCATCTAACTGCTTTATTTGAGCAGGCAGCCGGTGGCCTCCACCGGTTGGAGAGAGAACATCAGAGAGGAGAAGAGACCCTTGGCACCTTCTGCAGCCCGTCAGTTAAGATCCCGGTCCCAGCTGGAGCAGATTCGACGGACGAGGCCGGTCGTGATGGTCACCTACCGCCAAAACTTGCAAGGGGAGATCCAAGCACGATCGACCCTGGGAAGAGCTCCCGGAAGACTGTCAGGGAAGAGGCCTTGGGTGTCCGGAGTCATACACGGAAGACTCAGAGCGGAAAGTGCCCGCTGCTTCCGGAAAGTCGGATCAGCATTTCTGAGGTAGAACTTTGAAGATACGTCCTCGGCGGCAAGCGCTAAATTGCAGACCCCTCTTGCAGTTCTAGGAGTTATGCTTGTGAGCGTATACGGTATACATGATGAGATGGTAAGAAGAAGCCGTGGCAATATGCAGAAACAACATAAGCCATGAGTCTTGAAGCTTTGGCTTTTGGATCTTTGGCTCCAAGAGCCGGTGGACAGGACTAGGAGACAGTTGGCTGAAGCGCCACAGAGCATCGCGTTTCCAAGGGCCTGGAATTCTGTAGCCAGCCGAGACCTTGATGTCTCGAAGGACCTGTACTGTACTGCCCTGTACATGGGTGCCTCTGGATCACAAGGCAGTTTGGCCGAACTTTGCAGAAAGCACTGCCGCTTCTTCTGCTGACCTGGTGGCGACTTTGTCACCCTGTTAGATGATTTAGCACATGTCGAAGCTCGATGTGACATCTGTGGTACTCTAGTCTTCTAAGCCATTGAATCCTCAAGCCGTAAGCTCGTAAAGCTTCAAGTCGAAATCCTGGACAGTCGTGCATGTGAATTTTGAGCCTTGATTTTTGAAGCGTTAGTGATGTGAGGGCCAAGGATTCTTGTTTTGATGTAGTCTTTTCCTTGAGTCCACCGTTGGTAGAGGGTCCATATCCAACTCCGCGGGTAAACGATTTTATTAGGTTGCCAAGCCGCCGATCCGGGGTCGGCGATCCTCCAACAACACTGAAGCTTTCCAACCACTAATCTCTACAAGTGATAGACCTGTAAGGCATTCATGCCGAGACACACGACATCCCCCAAACCGTGCATACTGTTGCAAATTGCGTGCAGTATGTGACGATGGAGGATTTCAACTCTCCGGTCTCCCATAGTTAGACTTGGGACATCGGACAGACGAGGGCCCTGGCACATCACTCTGCAAAGTGGAGGGCCATGTGCTGGAACGGACATGGTGGACCAGTCGCCATTCCTGACGTGACGGCGAGTTGCAAAAGGATCGATCCGGCTAGCTTCACGCGTCGCAAGAGTTACTGTTGACTCCTGCACGTGCTCGAACAAAAGAAGGTTTGCCGCTGGTTTCAAGACCAAGGCGAAGGCGCAATTGTGGGCAAACTGCATCAAGAGCGGCTGAAGCTTGACGAGCCTTCTCTCCAGCCACGCCAGCAGGCCTGGAGCATCCAGGTGTGGGACCTGAATGCAGCATCCTCCGACGGACTTTTGGCCGTTATCGAGGATAGAAAGAAATCCCCTCGACAGGCTCGAATCTCAGCTTAGTGTTTTCTCTAGGAGATGTCTCAGCTGCAGGTCAAGTATGGGTCGTTTATGATGGAGGACGAGGCGCTCAGTCAGCTCGCATTCGGGAGTCTTCGGAGAGTGACAATCTGAAGGACATGCTCAATGTCGGACTGTGGCGCGACAAGGCCACCAAGGACTTGGCATCACGTATTTGCACCTTCCAATAAGCCAGGCATTGCATCACGGCCGAAGCACTGTGCTCAATTCAGCCTTCCAGTTCTCGCAGGAGTGGTGCAAGTTCGACTTGGAATGGGCTTTGTTCAAGGAGAGATGGCAGCTGGATCCGAAACCTATGCAAGACTCCAAGTGCGTCCCTCAGCTCTCCCGAGAGACGGCCACCGGCATGCAACTCAAAATGGGAGGTGGTATCCGGACGGTGTGCCGGTCGTGTACCTGTCCATGCACAACACGAAGCAGTTCGCAAGCAACTCAAGCTACAAAGCCGTGCGAGAGTGTCTCTGCAGCCTGCCCTCGCCTGTCGATGCCTTGAGGAGGTGACGGATTGGCTTCTGTCTTGGTTTGCTCGATGCCACAGCTTCAAGCCAGCCAAGTGTTCAACCTCAGGCGTCCGAGCAAGTTGAATGTGTATTCCGCGTCTGTTGTCCAGCCCTGCAGGCAAGGCACCGCCTCCTCAATGTGGGCTGCGCGGATTCCTGGCAAGCCGAGTCTATGCGGCAAGCATTGCGCCCAGGTCAGGAGGATTCGTCGGCAGAGCGGAAGCTCAGACGACGTCCGCACCAGTATGTGGAAGACATGCGTGAAGCCCAAGTTATGCCCTGCTCCCTTGCGCTGTGCCATGATCTGCCATGCTCGGAAACATTGAACACAATCTGGCAGGTGCTGCTGCATGGAGCCCCGCCTGAGCAAATGGATCTATTGGGGCGGCAAATGGTAGGTGGCTCAGTTTGGAAATCTCAATGGGCTTCGGCTGGGGTCGCATTCCAAGGTTTGACAATGGACAGGCGGTGCCAGGCGGGGAAGGTCCCGGTGGCGGAAGTTCTGTGTCAGTGGTCTGCCACATTGCACAGGCAAAATGCCGGGCATGCAGAAGAACAGAACCTGCACTCTGCCCTGAAGGGGAGGGAACATGTACAAAATGTAGAGCAAGTCGCAGAGACTTGCTTGAGGAGTTCTGTTTCTTGGAAGGGAGGGACGAGAAAACCCATCTCGTTTTCAGCAGGCTTCCCCTTCTGCCAAGGAGGGCAAAGATGGCCAATCCTGGTCCTAGTTAATGAACCTTGAGATTCTGCAAAGCTCGGAAGGAATACAAGGCGGCAGTGCCTGAGGCGACGGATAGTTGGCGCAGGCACTCCAAAGACCGTATGCACCAGGCTTGCATCTGAAGTCGGGGGTGGGGCACATCCCCACACATCCCCAGAAATCACTGGACATTCTGTCCACTCGTCACCTTGAGGCACTCGCCGCTCTCGAAGTCAACAGGAAGCCAGAGCCTGGTGTAGCTCGACAGGCCAGGGTCGGCTTGGGGTCCTCCCTTCGGCCTTGATACTGTATGGCAGTGCACCTTGGGGACATGGCTGATCCTGTTGTGTTAAAGAGGAGAAGACTTTCTGGCAAGGTTTGAGGCGCAGTAGATTGCAGCCGCTGCCTGGAGCCTCGCCACGCCACAGCACCGTGGCGAGACACCTACGGTAGGGCGCCCAACAAGTCGGATCGCGACATACTTCGCCTTCGCAACTATGCAGCCCTCAGGCTGCGACTGAACTTGTCGGAAGTTCACCAATCAAGCAAGGCCGGATGCAGGATACACCCCAGCCGTGAATATGCACTCGATATGTGGTGTTATCAGCATCTTCTGCACGTTTTTCTCCGGCTTAACGGAAGATCAAATTCAGCGAATATTCGACATTGTGACCTTAGTAAGCCTTATGTGGTAGATATTTTTTTGGCATGTGATATGTTGCGATCGTTCAGCCACTCTATCTGCATGTAGTCTCCTGGTCTTGCTATACCCAGACGACACCCGAAGTTCGAGACTGAGACGAGCGATCAATCAGCAACAGCCTATAATATATTACATTATTCTATATTATATTATATTATATTATGTTATATTATATTATATCATATTATAATATATTGTATTTTGCTCTTAGACTGTGCCAGCATGGCACCCCGAAGCTTTGATGTACCAAGCTGCCTGGTTCTTCAGCGGCGCGTGGCTGCACAACAAGTGCAGCACATGCCAGCGCATGGCTTACTTGCTCATCCTATGGTTTCTTACTGATGCATGTCTAGCTAGAAAAAAGTTGCGATGTTTCAAGGCTGCCGCAGCTCCGACGTGCAACAGACGAGCGCAATGCTTGCAGACTTTTCGTGCGATTGCTGGGTGCATCCATTCCCGGGCTTGCAGAGCCAGGACAATGTGCTGTGCAACTGTCCAGCCGACTGGATTGAAAAGAGACATGCTATCGTTTTTCCAAATTAACCCCTCCGCTCTAGTGTCAAGGTTTCCCATTGGCAGCGGGTTCACATCGAGAACTGATCGCGAATTTCCCAAATGTTGGCTTTCCCATGAAGTGCAGACTGACGGTATGCTTCGACAAAGTGGTTGTGCCAAGATGAGTTGAGGGCAACTGGAACCTCCGGCTCGAGTTCAAAAAAAGCGCTTCAGGTATCGTCAGGTTTCCCAGCGCTTACAGTATTCTCTCACAGTCACGGACGTATCGAAAGGACCGAAACGAACGGAGCAGTAGCGATCTTGGCCAGCGAACGGAGCCGGTGGTGTCGACAGAATGCGGGGTTTGGGTGGGACGGCCCTGCCAAGTCGTCGAACAGCCCATGCCGCCGCATTCTCCTCAAGACACTCGTTACAGATTCGATGTTTGGTAGTGTGCAGTGTCCGTTGAGCGTGAGGACTGCTCATGCGCGAGCATCCATGTGTGGAAGTGGCATTCGGTGATACAGTGAAGGCGACGCGCCTGCACTTTTCTTTCCCCACAAGTCATCACTTGTGTCGTTTTCGGCAAGACTGCATCTCAAGGAGTCCGAACCTGCTGAGTACGTCTCTGTGGGCACACCAACTTTCGGACCAAGCGCGGCGGGCTGAGCATATTAGATCCGCGTAGTTCGGCTGGTCTTCTGAGCGTGTTTGAGGCCCGAAAGCCAGGTTTGGTTCCGACAGCGCTGCAGGACAAGAAAGGAAAAGCCGTTTCGACTACAAGATGATGCCGGGGTGCGCTGCATTCCTGGAGGATTGTGAGTGGCACTTCGGCGACACGATGGTCTTCACTGTCGCTCAGACAAACGTCAGCCTGTCGCGTTGTGCAGGGTGGTGGGGCACTTGGTTCAGGTTCAGCTGTCGGAGCTCACTTCCTGTGGCTTGTCCCTTCGTGTGCGCACACGGAGTGACATGCGCCTGGGTCCCTTGCAGCTGGACCTGGCCCGGCCAAGCCAAGTCGGTTGCTGCACACTTGACATGAGGCACTCAATGAAATTCACTGAAGCCTCGGAATCTTGCCGGAATTTCTTGATCAGAATTCAGAGCACCCTTTCAGGCGTCGGATCCTTCCTGCATGCTCCAACCCAAAAGTGGCCCAGGCGGCCAGCCGGCGTGTTTGGTGCCGTGTTGTTTTGCCGGAGCGGCGCAGGTCGCAAGCAAGGGGGTAAAGGATGATGCAACTGCACCCGGTTCGCAGCTGGCTCCCTTTTGCCTGCGGAGAGCCTGCCATGTTGCAGTGCACTGACTTGCCGATGCTTTTGCCGCAGCTTCTTCCAAGGCCCATGCAGCTTCGCAAGAGATCTGGGAGTCTGAGCAGATGTGCTTGCCACTCGTTACAGCCGACGGCGCGGATGAAGGAGTACCCTGCTCAGTTGCAAGAGGTGTTCGTTGTTATTTCATGTCGTACTTTGGACAGCGCTGCAGGCATGGCTCTTGGTGAGTTTCGCGCTGTCTGCCAACCCGCAGTCGCTCGAAAAACTGGCTTCCCGGGCAGACAGGACGTTGGTTGAGCGAGCACCTCGGCTGCAAACTTCAGCCTTTATCCTGTACCGACTGTAGCAATGCGAAAGCCGCTACGCTTGCTAGCAACCTTTGTTTTGCGAGGTTTCTGAAAGTGTCTCACAACTGGGCCAACAAGCCCAGCCAGCGTTACAGTGGGCGGCAGAATGTTGTGCCACAGAAACAGCGAGGACGGCATCCCGGTTGAAGGGAAGGTCCCTGTACACTGACCTCACCTCAGGAGCTCTCAAGAGCGGATCGTCGTGTCCATCCCAGCCATGGAGCACGAAAGCATGGGCGTGGACTTAGGCATTCGAACAGGGTCCTGAGGCAGATGATTGGTTCCTGTCGCTGTCGCAGGCCGCAGCCAAGCAGGGGCGCCCGAGAGCCAGCAGAGCCGGGAGTGTGCGGCTTCACCACAGCAGGAGAGCCGATTTTATGGGATGCTTTGAGGTTTCAAGATCTCACGAGGCTCAGTTCGCTAGTTTTCTGAGACGAGGAGATAGAAGCGGAGCCTGCGCCAGAGCCGCCTGCCTTCCCGGAGACGGCTCCAAGCAGGCCCCCTTCGCAGTCTCATGTTCCAGCCTAGCCTCAGAGACTTGCTGTCCACATTTCCTAGCAAAGCTGTATTTATCAGTGTTTCGAGGCTCCCAGTTCGGAGCCAGTGTGGAAGAAGCTTGGCTTCAACAAGTGGGTTCATCGTGATCGTCCTTGTGTTTGTGTGGATGGCACCTGCAGCTCCGAGCAGGATATCTCGTTTCACATGGGGCTGGGCCCGGCCCTACCCTGCCCATGCCGTACACCTTGAACCCAGCGTGGACATGGCATCAGAGGCTCGTTATAGAGTTGGCTTCAGCGACGGAGCCAGGGCTTTCAACAGCAAGGGGCGGTTTGGCTTTGGCAGACCAGGCCACAGCTCACGGCACAGAGCGCCGGCTTGCAACCTCAAACGTGGGGCTTTCCACAGCCTCTGAGCTGCATGCGGGAGCAGCTTGAGGTCGTGCGGGGGGAGCTTACGCCCAGACATGTAGGCAGCTGAGGCCAGCTCCTGTGCCGGCTCACCTGCCGCAGTTCCGCTAAAATGATGCAAAGAGTGCAGGGGTTGGCAAATGGCCTGCCGGCCTGCCCCAAGTCTTTTTCGCCTCTGCGAGCGCAGTCCCTGCCCACAGGTAGGTATGATCCGCATAGCACTGCCAGCATTGCGCAAAGCCTCACAACTCCTGCCGGGGCCTGAGCATGCCTTGGGGCTCTGCGATGGACGGCCAGCTTTGCAGTCCAAAGTCTGCATCCCAGGTGGCTCATGGTCAGCAGTTGACAGCTGCCTGGGGCCTACCTCAGATGCTCCGAGTCGACCCCTGGTTCCTCATGGATCTACAAGGCAACCTCGGAGGCTCCGGTCCAACTGCCAGAACTCAACACACAGGACCTTTCCAACACGGCACAGGCTGCACTGCCACGCTTCTAGGGATCCACGACCTGTCGGTGTGGGAGGCACCAGCTACTTCGTCACATGGTGGTAGTTTACTGATGACAGCTGCCAATACCTGAGAGGGGAGCAGACAGATGTTTTGAAGCTGTTGTGATTTCTTGCTGTTGCTTTGTAGGTTTGCCTTCTGTGCACGAGTCCGTGTGAGGCCATGGAGGCATCTCTCATCAAGCTTGCTTCTTTCAGGCTAGTGCGGATGAACATTCCGTCGATGAGCAGCCTGTCTGAGATCGTTTACCAGTTGCAGGGACAACACGATTGATTTCGTCAGTGATACTGTCGCCAGCATTCTTTTTGTTCCGCTGGAATTCCGGCTAGATATGTTCGAAGGATGGTCTGGTGAAGCGTTGCATCGCCCATGGTCTCACAGGGTTTCTGATGATGTCTCTGTGATTTCCTGAGGGTTCTTGCTTTGGATTCCCTTCCCAGAAGTTACCAAAATCATGTTTCAGGCAGCAGTGGCATGGCAGTACATGAGCAAAGCTGCACTCCTGCAGGCGGGGGGAAACAGAGATGCTACTCTGGTCTTTAGCCCCGTGGCGCTGGGAGACGTCCTTAAAGGCGACTGCTCTGCTTCTTGCGCCTTTTAGCCCGAATAGGCCTTAATTTAATCCTTTTTGCCCAACTCATTGCGGCTTAATGTGTCGAGTCGAGGTGCTCCGCGACATGGATCGGCGCGGACCACAGAGGCACAGCTTTCCAACGGGACATGTGCCATGTTTCTGAGTCAGGACCTCCACTCTGCGCCCCTTGGGTCAGCCCGGCTGATTTGAAGGCGTTGTTACGGGCACTGAGCGCGGTTATTTGCAAACCTGTGCTTGAAGAGCTGTGTCACGCCGTGTCTGTCAACAGTCCACCAACCAAGTCAGGCTGACCGAGTAGCAAGGGATTGGATGCAACCAGAAGGAGCTGTTTAGTTTCGCCTACGTTGAGTTAATGCTGGTGTAGCTAGCCGGCTAGCCCTTCCTCCGTCCGAACTTGCTGCCATGCCATGGCTTCTGATATGAAGGGGGACGCGAGGTCGCATGAATTGGAAACGCGACTCCCTCTTACCGTGCGTGGTTTCTAGGGCAGGAGCTAAGTTACTAAGGATGTTCTGCGAGACCAGCCTGTGCAGTTTACGTTGCTGATGCTGACACTTACCTGCAGCATGAATTCAAGCAGTCAGCCGCACGCAGACCCGATGCAACTATGCAACAGTTTGATGAAGATGGTGTTGCCTCGAGGCTGGGCGTCGGATGCTGCGGCATCATGGCTCCGGTTTGCTGCATGTGGTCAAGGGGTTTGGAAGCGTCGGTCCTTGCCTTTGATGTTCCTTGGAGGCACTTCTGCACTGGTCAATTTGCTTGAAAGTTGAACGAAGCTGAATTCACAGCCTCTGGTCATTTTCCAGACAAGGAAGCTGGGTGCTTTGCCTGCAGCCAGACGCAAAGACGAAGCGTAGCCGGGACTTTTGCATGTCGGATGTGGCGGACGAACATAGATCTTCAGTTTTGGCCGTCTGGTTGTGAGCCCAAGAGACCTTTTGGGCTCCTTCAAGCCAAGTTGCTATTTCGTTGGCGGCTTGTTTGGTGGATCCATCCTCCTCGAGATGCTGGTAGTCCCCTCGCCGCATGAGTAGCGGCTTTTGAGAGTCTCAAGTTCACTCAGACCTGAGAGGCTCTCCTCATGGCCACCGGTCATTTTCCGGACCTGGGACCGCCCCTGCCCTATGAATGTGTGCCCTGCACGCAGTTTCCCTTTTTTGATGTGCTCGCGAGATGCCCCAAAGTTAAGGTCACGCAGAGTTGATTCTCAGCGGAGCAGTGGCATCGCTTGCGCAGGCCTTCTTGGTGGCGATCCTCGTTGGCTTGGTGTTCTCAGTCAAGGCCAGGTCTTGTCACCGACTGCGTCTTCCCGCCGAAGGTACTGGTGCACCATAGCTAGAGTAGACCAAATGACATACTACAATCTACCTAATGCTGCAAGATACCACAATCTACCCATGCGGACTGTGGCTGCCTGGCGCAGAGTCCATTTTGGAAGAAGAGGGCAAGTGAGGCTTCGACAACCGTTTGACGCAATGTCGCTGCTGCTCCTGGCATGCCTTGGCCTTCCCGTGAGAGTTTTGAGCCATTCATACTTGGCACTGCCTCCTTCACGGAACTTGCTCGCAAATTTGGACGGTTTGGAGGATTGCCCACATTGCCTACAGTCAGGTGGCCCTGACAATGTCAAGGCCCGCGGAGAGGGCTTGTGGCCGACCCGATTGGATCCAGGCTCTCATGGCCTGTGTGGAGACCCGGTGCAGGGACAAAGCAACCCTGTCCGGCTTCAAGATGAGACCTATCTCAAGGCCGGGGTCGTGACGGCAACGTATGCGCCAGGAGAAGTGGTGGAGTTCCAAGTCGCAGTTAGTACACATCATCAAGGACACTACGAGTTTCGCATCTGCGACAAACCGCTGGATGCGGCGTCCCTCACGTCAGCTGCCGAAGGCCAAGCTTGTTTGGACCAATGGTTGCTGCAGCGGGCACCGCCATTGGATGACTGTGTGGTCAACGATCCCAGGGGCGACTGCCAGCCACTAGACCCAAAGCATCCTGAAAGATGGTACTTGCCACCAGCTGGTTTGCAGACGCAAGTGGCCGGCCAAAACTTCACGGACTCCATGGCTCCCAGCTATCCATCCTCCTCGGAGGTGCACCGCATGAGGTTCAAGATTCCCGAAGGCTTGCAGTGCTCCAGGCGCCGGATCCTTCAAACACGCAGCATGCTAGCGGCTGCCAGCGAGCTAGTGTGAGTACTGTAGGGGTTTGTTTAAGACGGGTCATCACGCGTCGTGGTTGCTCTCAGCTGAGCTAGGTGCACGCTACAGTGGTACTGGTCTTCCGGCAACACCTGCCTTTACGATGGCGACTACTTCGACTATTTTCGAGGTATTGCTGCACTTGGATGGGACGCAAGTGCATGGCAGACCAACGTTCTGGAAAACTGGGCAAACTGTGCCAACAGCTGCTGCCAGACTGGTGGAACATTCGGTGAGGAGTTTTGGAACTGCGCAGATGTTGCGGTTGTGCCAAGTGGCGGCTCTTCGGCAACAACGCCGGAGCTTTCAACCACGAGAGTTGCTTCCCGACTTAACTTTTGCAGAAGATTTGACTGGACCTGAATTTCTTTGCAGGTTTGCGGTGTTGTTCAGGGTAGGATGTTGTGCAGGCCACATCAGCGACTCCCACCACTACCACTACAACTTCGGCAGCGACGCCTTTATTTTCTCCTGTGGATGGAGGCGATGGACGGGCTTGTCGTGGAAGAAGTGCCCGGGACAATTCAGCGACCTACTATGAGGTGGTCTCCGGAGTGACCCAGCTGGGGGACTGCAAGGCAAAATGCGTTGCGACAGCAGGCTGTGTTGGCATCGAACACAACCCACGTGGCCGTGGGCGGTGTGAGGTGTGGACACGGTCTGAGGGAATCCAGGCTTCCATTCCCTTGCCTGGCTTCACTTGTCTTAGACTGGGTGAGCCCTCTACTACTCGACCGATCGGGTCGCTTGGAACCTTTGAGAGCCTTGGAGCGGGCACGGCCTGCCGGGGCGCAAGCCCCAGAGACAACTCTCCCAACTACTACTTGCTCTTCTCTGGGGCCTCTCTGGACTTTTGCAAAAGACAGTGTGCATCTGGCGAGGGCTGCCAAGGCATCGAGTTCTCTGGAGTCTCTAGCAGCGGAAGATGCGAAGTTTGGACCCGAGCTATTGAAGCGAGTGCTGCTGTTAGCGGCTTCACGTGCTACACCTTCACTCCGCCTGGGGTCCCGGCCTTAGCACGCAGAGATACAGTAGCCTTGTCAGGAAGCCCGGCGTTTCACGGCAGCTTGGCTGAGGTCCCCACTTCAACAACCTCGACCTCGTCTCCGAACGCGTGCTCCAGCGCGTGGGGGGCATGTGGCGGCCAGAACTGGGATGGGCCAACCTGTTGTGAAGACGGGTATGTTTGCATGGCCGCGGCTCGGCTTAGGTTTCTAGCTGGCCCAGGCAAGACATGTCCACAACTAGCCCTAGAAGATGGAAGCATGCTTCGCGGCCTAAGGAAAGCATTTGGTATTCACAGTGTCGACCTGCTGCAGCTCTGGCTGAGATGCCTGACCTTGCAACTCCAGAACACAAGAAGCACCGCCGTGGCTTGGCCAATAAAATCGTGACAGGGCAACCCTTTCAGGTGTATTGCATGCTCTGTCAATTTTGTTGAAGCCATCCGCAGGCTTTCGTGGAAGCACATTTTTGCAAGATGGCATGCTCTTGGACCACATGCTGGTAGAAGAGCTCTGAGTCGTCTCTGATTTTCTGATGGTTGCAACATCGCCGCAACACTCACGCAGGGGATGGTCGCAGCCATGACTTCGTAACAGATGCAAAGGTTCCGTTAAGCTGGCGCCCGGATTGGGCTCGAACTGCTAGGTGCATCTTGCCTCTCTGTGAAGTTTTCACTGTACAGTACAGATGTTTTGGCTCTTCCTGGGCGGCAAAAGCGAGCCTGCGAAATGCCAGTTGCCGAATTCAGGTTTTGTGCTCCACAGTTGCCAAGAAGTGGCGAACTGCCACACTGGTCACAGTTGGGTCCGTGCACAGCTGGTCGTGGCTGGTGGGTGATTGCATCATGGGTTTGTATTCTTGGGTCAGAGCACGGCGGCCTAGACCTAGACGAGGCATTCTGCATCAGTATATCGCAGAAGTTCTGGCCTGGCTTCTCTTGCTGTGCGATGGCTCATGACTTTTCGACCACTTTTGAGCAGAGACTGCTTTGCCCAGAGTGCGATGTGCACCAAACGGGAAAACAAGAGGGCTGATGCTTCGAAGTTCGGGGGCTGATTAGGAGGGCACGCGGGCCAGGTGTATTCGACGCACTGTGTTTGCCTGAGACGGTGCTTAACCCGAAGCGCATGCAGGTGAGGAGGCTTGCCCAAAGACGCTTGGCGAGCGCACGCGAGGGCGACGGTGAAGCCTCCGCAAGGTTGCTTTCGTGACGGTTCCAGCTGTGACCTAGAAAACTAGAAAGATCTGCGTCAACTTGCTAGACCGGTTCTCGCGACAAAATGCTTTGGCCGGAGGGCTTGCAGCGGCACGAATGCCACAGCGCCTTGTCGCTGGCCGTTAGCTCAAGGATGCCAAAGGTGACAGCAGGCTAGCAGCAGGGCGTACAGCTCACGGACACTCGCAAAGTTTCACTGAGCGTGCAGGACCTTTGTAATCAAGGCAAAGACAAAGAGTAAGACGAGTAAGAGATGCAACGCATGGAGTCACCAAGTAGTTTTCAGGGTAAGCGTTCGCACAGCCGACATGGATTCTCATGACTCGTAGTCCGAGTCATGTCGATTGAGGCGGCTGCTTTCTTTTCGATGCCTGCCCTGATTAGAAAAGCCTTCGAGCCTGCTGGATACAGGAGGTGGTGAAAGAGCTGGAAAGCCGGCGGCAATTTGCCGGTGATCATCTGTGGAGGCACTGGCTGCGTAATTGAGGGGCAGCACAGATGTTGGACCACTGTGGTGTCACAAAGAGGCTCAACACTGCCATCTTCAACTGCGCTGATGAGAATGAGGTCACTTCACAGCTAGCTGGCCGATTCTGGGCAAGATGTGGGTTGAAGATGCTGTGGCCAGTGTACCGTTTAGGCGTTTTGTGCTTCAGCATAGTGCAGGAACGGAGATGGTTCCTTTGAAGAGTGCCTGAAGCTTTTTAGGAATTTACCAAGTGGTCATGCAGATGCGGAAAGAGTACCAGTCTGGACAGTTCTATGCCACGGACCAGGGCAACTTGTTTCGAAGCAGATCCCGGTACGGTGCAATGACATCCTGGGCCAGGACCGGTCAAGTGTAGCTAGACTCGACAAACTCAGGCAACTACCTTGCCCTGCTGGGCACGTTGCAGAACCAGCACCCTGGCAGGCATTTGTACGTTGTCCTTGTGCTGTGTTTGGGTCCTGCTCTTTTGCTCTAAGGGATTACTTCTCAACCCGTCAAGCAACGGCTTTCCGTGGCTGGATCGCCGAAGCTCTTGGTGCGGGCCGGGAGGGTGGCCGAGAGGGCTCGGCCCAGACGTCCAAGGACAAGGAGCCTGTCAGTTCGGAGTTTAGGATGCAGTTGCCTGGATTGAGCCGTCAGCGGAAGCGGGGCAGCCTTGCAGGGACACAGAGTCTCGTTCGTGTCAGATTGCAGGAGAGCGGCACCAATGGCCTGAGCCGGTCAGAAGCGCAAAGACTGCGAAAGCTGGAAGCAAGCAGAGAGGCGGGAAAGTGGAAGTGCGACAAAGCGTGTCTCTTTCATGGGCCCCGAAAACGGATCCCATTGCCGAGCCCCGTGCCAAGGCCTTGGCTGCAGAGCTTCGCCAACTCCGCTCCTTGCGGTCTGCCGTTGAAACCTTTACGTCCTTTGATGCAACAAAAAGAGGCCGGGGGGCGCGCCGCAGCGCTTGGAGCGCTTTTGCGATATCTCGTCTTCTCAGGAACCGGAAAGAAGAAGGACAACCAGAAGCAGAACGAGGGTCCAAAGGACAACGTCTCAGCGAACGGCAACATGCAGGAGGCACACGCGCATTTGAGACCCTGCCGCGCCATCTGCGAGGATTCACCACAGCCCGTCATGGATTCGGGCCGTGGCACACGACGCGAGGAGCGCCGAGAAAGCGTGAAGGCCGAACCACCCGGCTACCAGGCTCGGCCATGGCGCGCTGCAGCCCTGTCTGCGCTGTCTCCCTGTGTTCTGAAGGTGAGGACGGACAGTGGATGGATCAGGTATGACGACGAGGCTCAGACGGCTCTGCGGGCCGCTGCTGAGAAGGGTCAGCCAGAATGCCGCTAGGCCGCTAATTTCGCAGATTTGCCGAGGTTACCTTACAACAAGAAAAGTCATCCAAGGTGAGATCTTTGCCCAAGGCCAATACTACAAGATCAGCCTCAAGCGTCTCTCGGCTCTAGCCTATAGGGGCCAGCAGGCTTCGAGATGCGACTCGAAGCCTTTTGAGACTCTCTACCCCAGGAATGGTGCAGATCAATCCTTCCACCGGAAACGAGCGGTCGGTGCGTCTGCAGGGTGAGGCCCCGCGGACTCCCGAGATGCCAAAGTTGAACTTCAAGCGCCTCATGGTCGAGCAACTTGGAGCTGAAGTCATAATCGTCGTCATGAGATGTCATGGGCCATTGTCATAGAGTCATGGGTGATGCTTGGAGCTGGGCTTTAGCTTCCCCTCTCAGGTTCAAGCAGCTCGAGGCTTGCATAGCTGCTGGCCAAGAGCCGAGTTTTCACAGGTGTGAGCCCGTGGAGGACAATTTGATGGAGTCTTGTCTGCCACTGGTGCTTCGTTCTCACTTGTACTCCCTCTCCATCGACTCCAACCTCTATCTTGTCTTCCGCTTTCCTTTCCTTTTTTTCGGGGGGGGGGGGG